TCGTAATATAACATAAGGTCGAAGGGCAGCTATGATACTTCTTTTAACATTTGCGCTTCGATTGTAATCCCCATCTATGTCACAGAGCTCACCTGTTAACCTTTCTATAGAGGAAAGGATACGAGTTAGATAGTCGGTTTTTAGGATTTTCTTTCTCATCCTCTTCTTCTTCTTCGGGATTTTCTGATTGAGGGCGATCATATGCCTCCATCAACTCTTCTAATTCTTGATTTGAGATTGGTTATTCATGCACGTCTAACAGTCCGGTCACATCTTCAGTTGTTACGTCTTCGAATCCACATTCGCGTGTAAACTTGATAATGTCTTCGTTTATGTTATTTACCACTTCTACACTTGCACCTTGTATAAATCCAGGAAGAAGTTTACACCAAACGCCGTTTAAACAATTGTTTGTCACTTCGTCCCTCTTAGCTTTTGTCAAGACCTCTAAAAGCCCGTGGATTCTGGGAATGGTACACTACCATTGGCTTAAATTTTAAAGAACCAGAAATATTTGATTCCAAGGGAACAGTCAGTCTATCCTTGGCGGCTTTAAATCCACGAGCACTACGTTCTTCTCGCGAAATAAATGTTCTCGATGGCAACTTCTTCCAATAGAGGCCTGTTTCATCAAAATTGAAGATGATATCTGCAGGGTAATTCCCTTGTTCCACAATTTCTTTAAACTTTTAAAGGTAAGCTGCTGCTGCTTCTACATCAGCGCTCGCAGCTCGAGGTTTAAACGGATATTGGTTCGAGATTTGAATCTCGTGAAGCACCCAGTGCTTGCCAAGAAAGTTTCGTCAATGATTTCTTGCGCCTTCAAATCAGAAAAAATCAACTGTGCTTTTTCGCATATGATTGCTTGTGTTACAGGAATATTCTTTTGATTGGCATCATCAACCCACAATGCCAACATTTTTTCCATTTTCTCTATATTTTTTTATTGTCGTCTGATGTCAGGCGAACCGTGGAATCCCACGCCGGCACCAACCGGCGTATTTGTGAATCGGCGTAAACCGAACCGGCGCAAAACAACGTTTACCTGTATATATATTATAATCAAGCCGAGGTCGCTTGCGGCCGAGGCGCTAGCTCCGTATCATATAACTTTACTAAAATACACGATTTCTAAAGATTTACTTTTTTATTAAGCCGAGGTCGCTTGCGGCCGGTTTTATTTTTCAAATTCTGCACATTTTGAACGTTTTCAGAATAAACTATTTGATTTAAATCCGTTTTACCTGATTTAAATCTGGTGAACGAGGTGGCCACGGGACAGGACCTCCTTGGCCAATCCAGTTATTGCAAAATCTGTTTTGTAAGTATGCTCGCGTAGCGCGTGCATAAGGTACTGGTGTTCCATCGTGCATAAAGAAGCAATCTTCTAGAATTTGTTGAGGTAATTCATCAAATGCCTCTGTAAGCTCATTTTGTAAAAAATGTATGTAAGCATCGGCTGTCAATCTCTTTGGAAGAAAAAATGGACCTGATCACTTATAACTCCAGCCCATACATTAATACTGAATCGCCACTGATGATGAATTTCTAGTATTGCATGGGGATTTTCATCACTCCAAATGTGCGCATTATGAATATTAAAAATTCCGCAAGTCGACGTTTACTACCTCTTCCTGTATGGCCCACCTACAAAAATCTCTCTTTTTCGCCATCATTTTCTGTTAGAGCTTGAACGGTGTTGTGATGATAAGGATGCAACTGCTCCCTTAAAATGAGGTGAACGGTTGTTTTCTTAATGTTTTCTTGTGCAGAAATTCTTCTTCGTAATCATAGTAATCACTTAATTATTATAAAAACAAATTAAAATTCATGATGTTAACAATATCAACTTATGAAACTAAATCTTGGATTATCTTGAAAATGGTCCATTTTCGGATCTATGTTTATTAGGCTTTTTTTGTTTATTTTCGATCAGAAAATACGCTGATCCAGTATTGTACAATCATTGCGGGAGACCCTGTATATTACTACTATAATCAAAGCTATACTAAACTATACGATTTCTAAAAAATTACTTTCTTATTAAGCCGAGGCCCCTTGCAGCTGAGGCGATAGTTCCAGCCAGTAGGTAGATGATGGTATTAGAACAGATATTAGATACTATATACAGGATGTTCCAAAACAACTTTTATATAAAACCCTGTATATTACAATCAAGCCAAGGTCGCTTGTGCCCGAGGCGCTAGCTCCGTATTATATCTATACAAAACTACACATTTTTCATGGATATTTCTCCATATTAAGCTGTAAAATGAGTCATTTTACCATTTCCCGATGTTTCGACGATGAACATCGTCTATAAGACAGAGAAAATTACGTTGGAGTTGGAATTCTTTGAAAGGGATAGATTTTAAATAAATTTTTTTGTTTATTACAGATCAAGACGGGGCTGAACCAAGTGGAAATTCGGTTTCTGTCCACAATTTGGTTCGTCTTTCCGCTTACTTGAATCGACCGGATTTGAAGGACAAGGCGGGAAAGACTCTAACGGCTTTCGCGGAGCGCCTCCGCCAGATCGCGTTCGCTCTCCCGGAAATGACTTCCGGCCTGATGCATTACTCCGATTCCTTGCCACAGGTAGGTGCTTTATAGCTCTTTTCTAGTTAGGTTCCGGTACTAAAGATCAAAAGCGTGAACCTTTTTTTTTATAAAAAAAATTTTCTTTTTTCTATTTTTCAAAGAAAAGAATTTCTATTAAAATCACAATAAATGTCATGGTCTTTGCGTAAGCAGAAGTCGATAAATAATTGTAAAGACAAGGGGTACTCTGTAAAAGGGGAAATCGAAGGGAATAAATTGAGATTGATCGTTCTCTGAGACCGTCGAGACTTGGGCGACCTCAGGAGTCACGGAAAACTTTCCTCGGTTAGAGTTAGGGCCATTGTGATACTGTTGATGACAGCTTGAAAGCGGTCCGGTTTGATCGATTCAAAACAAAGCGATGCTTTGCGTTTCAAAACATAATAATTCCAAAAATAAAACAACATTTAAATTGATCCATAAATTAAAACTAAAAATTGATGATTATGAATTTCTTTAACAGATATTCATTGTTGGTCATTTGGATGATGACAAGACTAAAGCACTTTTGAACGCTGTCCGGGAATGTTACATTCCAGGAAAAGTTTTGATTCTTGTTGATGATCCCGAAGGACGTTCCGAATTCCTTTACAAACGAATCGACTTTATGGGAAAATTGAAGAAAGTTGAAGGCCAACCGACAGCTTACGTATGCAGAAGTTATACTTGTTCTTTACCCGTAACGGAACCCGAAGCTTTAAAGAAAGCTTTAGATGTTGAATCTCGTAAAAAATCATCCTCTTAGAGTTTGTAAATTTGTAAATAGAAGAAAAAAGATATAGAGAGTTATTAATAATGTATTTTCGGTGATTGTGGTCTTTTAGAAAATAAAGTTTGACAGCAAAAATTGTTTTAAATAAATCTCCTTTCTATCTTCTAAATTTAAATCAGTTTTATAAGTTTTGGGTGTGGCAGAAATTGTTTATTTATCTCCTGAAAACTTATAAAAAAAAAACTTTGACCTTAACCCAAAGCTTTAAAAAAAATCCTTTTCAGACGAAGACCCGGAGGGCCGAGTTTCTTTTGAGGATCGTTTCAGGGGTAACCCGGCAAAGGGGTTTTCAGTCAATGAGCAGAGCTGTAACAGGTATTTCTCTTCGCGTCTGTTGTAAGGATGTGCGCGCGTGCGCGTTTCTCTTTTCAGCTTGCAAAGCTGTTGCTTCTGACCAGTTCGCATCCGAAATCGGCGCGGAGAGGCTGAAAGCACACGCGAGAAAGCAAGTTTTTCCCAGTTTTCTTTTAGAAGGGTGTTCTCGCGAGCAACAAAAAAAAAATTATCCGAATCATACCCGCGCGTTCTGTGCAATTAAATCGTAATTTTTTCGACCCGTTTCAGTGCGGAAAACTAAATTTTCAGTTTGGAAAAGTGAAAAGTTGAGATTTGCGAGGACCAGCCCGGAGCCGAGAGAAGGTGAGTACCCAAATTGATTAAATTTACGCTTAGATTAGATAACCCTCATTGGGATATTGAAATAAATCGCGTACGAGTTATTGATTGAGTCGTGAGTTAATATTGCGAGCTTTCAACAATGTTTTTCGCGATCTTAGGAATATGGTGGAGGCGGGAGGTTTTCTTTTGAACGCGATGCAGTGTAGTTTGGGACAATGGAGCAACAAGTAAGCCCGGGCAGAAGGAATTACAGCAGAAACAAATACGAAAGTTCTTTGTGGAAAAAGTTCGTTAAGAGTTGGGTTTTTATAAGACACTTTTTATCGTGCACTTTCATTATTACTTTGGATGGAACCCATAAATATTTACTTTAACATCATACCACTTTAATGTTTATGTAACCCCTTTTTTATATTTTACTTAAACGAATTACTTTTTGAATTTTTGCGATAATATACACAACAGCATTCATGAATCGGTATAAACTCAAATTGTAAGATCCTTTGTCTTATCAATACATAATTTAATAGTAAAGAACACGATATAGGTGTACACGATATAGGTATACATGATAATGATGTTTTTCTTTTCAAATGTATAAGAAACGGAGTTTAAGTCCATTTGCATTCTAAATCAACGAAAAGATAATAATTTATTTAAGGCTTAATGGAACAACGTCAACAAATACTTTATCTTTAAATAAAGCAATATGAACTCCTTTGAGTCAACTCGATAAATAGAATGGATAATGTAACTTGGGAAATATGAGCACAATCATATACTTATTGATAAAAAGCTTCTTTCCATATCTCCGTGATTAATTGGTGGAGATGAGAGACTAAATTTTAGCAGGAATTTCCTCCATACCTAAGGTTTTGTTGTTTCATTTCCCGTTCTAACATCTAAAAGTCCTTCAAAGTGAGCTTTTTATATGTTTTTGATATCTTCATCGCTGGTTTCCTTCCATTTAAAGTCACTAATTTATCAATTGGAAATGATATGAGTTAAATGGATTATTACTTTCTGCTTTTGACGTTTTAAGTTGCATTGTATCCATTGGAAGTGGCAAACATTAACTTTCATTTCTAGTTGTTGGTTCTAATCTCTGAGTTGCCATCTTGTGGTTCTGGCATCCAATCCAAATCACCCATAGAAATATTTTTCTGGCATCAGTTCAGATTTTATCTCCATCGGTTGGATTGGATCAATTGCAAATGCTAATATTTCAACTGAGTTGCTTTTAGACATCAATTTCTAACATTTCTGATTGGATGTTTCAATTGGAAGTGGAATGATCCTACTTTCTGGTATTGACTTTATAAGTTGTAGAAATTGTAGATATCATTTAATCACGATTTTTAACTTTAGTATTGGAGGGAAGCTTTTTTATGCTTTAAGCGATCGTTATTTGAAAGAAGAAATTAATTTCTTTATTTCATAACATTATTTTGAAATATCTCAATAAAATTTATTAGTTTATCTCCAACGCCGATTTTAATCAAAATTAAATTTAAAATTCCATCGTTTTGGTTAGAATAGATTTGCTTATTATTTCTGTAAAGATGAGTCACAACAGGATCTTTAATCATCAACCCGATCCAATCATCATTTTTTCCAGATTATATCAATAATATTTAGCTTAAATTTATAATAATATTCATAAAACTTTTATCAGAAATTTGATTTTTTTTTCGATCGAGTTATTTTTTGTTTCACACATAAAATAAATTGTTCATTTAAGCGTTCTCCTTTTTAAAAACAAAATAAATTGATTGGCCATAATCATAGTTGAGAGGGGTTCCGCTTTTATAACTGATTTAAAACGCATAAAAACATTATAAATAAACCTTGTGTTCTTAGTACGTTTAGGAAATCGTAAAATAAATTCACACCTTCTGGTTTTATCAAGCAAAATTGAGCGAGTATATTTTTTACTTTATTAATATTTCGTAGAAATATTATTTTATCTTATTTTTTTTTTTTAGATTACGAAATAAAACGACGAGCGAAAAGTTGCGTTTGATCTTTAAAGAAAATTCTTCTAAGCAGATGTCTTCGAATCGAATTTAAGCGGGGTGGTTGGTGTGGGGTGGTTTGCGCCCCCCGAGATGTCTCCCAATGCCGAGGAGGCACCTACCGAGCTGTGATACAGCGTCAACATGCACTTTTATCCCGTGGGATATTCATATTGTAGGTCCAGCTCGGATGCCGGACTGGGCCAGAAACCCTCGTCGCGGCGCCAGGACCAAGATCCCACCGATAGCGGTGATTCCACTCTTTCAGATCTCGATGGTAAGTTTTAAATTTTAAATTTTGCTACAAAAAAATCTTTTAAAAACATTTACCATGCCACCAGTTTGTAAACAAACGACAATAAACGCCCCGCATTTTCAAACGACGGGCGCCGTAAACCCGCAGGAAGTGATTTACTGCTGCGTCCCGGTTAAACCTTGGAAATTTTGCCAAGGAATATTCATCTGTCCGCGATTTCATTAGAAAAAAGGTCCAAACAAGAAACTAAAGAAAATAAAGAATAAAAAAATACGAGTCCGAAGTTTATGATGGGCGGGATTTGTAGAAGCAAAATAAACCAAAAAGAAAAATAATAAAATTCTTCGTGTACACCATGCCGATTTTAGTACACGTTTTGTTGCGACATCTGTTGCTTTGCTGCTGTGTTAAACTCAGCTTCCGATGGCGGCTTGGGTTAATCTCCGGGTTTATTCTGGCACTCGCCAAGCCCTCGTCATTTCCGGTTACCAAATAAGGATAAGTGACGTTACCTCTACTACTACTAGGTTTCCGGGAAAACCATTTAATAACTGTTGATTTGAAATATTATCTTAATTATAACGTAGCGAAACTCATTTAGTCAATACAAGAAAGTTTCTCTTTGTTTCTGTTTATTTGAGAAAGGTGGATGAAAATATAACGTTCCCTGTTGTGCAAATAATCTTATCAGATTTTACGTTCACTTCAAGAGTTTTATCATAAAGTAAGATCTTACGTCATGAATTATCGTTTAGATCTCCAAAGTAGTGTTTTCTTATCTTTCTTTACTACATCCAGTGTTTTTGAAGGCCAAGTGCGACCCAATTAAAAAATATTAATGATTACCTATTCCCCTTCTCCTCATTGCCACAGCGGAATCTCTTCTCTTCATCATCCCCCTCCATCAACAAATACTTTGGCAGTTCCTCTGTCACTATCTCTCCATTCATTCTCGTATCTGTGACCTTCTTTCTTGCCTCTGTATGTCCCTGTTCCTATCTCTCAGTTCTCTCCACATTTCGATCCCACTCTTCTATGATAGTCTTCCCTATCTCTTTGCCCATAGATCAGCCTTCTCTCTTCCACCCCTCCCAATAATCCCATGAATTAGGTTCTCCATTCAGTTATTTGTGTATCTCTTCCCTTTCTCATCCTCTTTAAGTATCTCCATACCTCATTTTCCTCTTTCAACTCCTTAACCTTTTCAGCCTCCCTTTCCTTCAGCTCCTTCTTCTTTTTCTTGCATACTTCTTTGTATTTTCTCCTGGCCTCTATACAGGGTGTTCCGGTGACTCGGGGTATAAAATTAACCTCATATAGTAGAGCAAAAATGATGACGATTCGTGAAAAAAAATTATTATAAAAGTCTTCAAATGGCCAAGATATGGGCCATCAAAGTTCAAAAATTTTAACACATTTTTCTAAATATTTTCAATACCATTTATGGTAGAGCGTTGAACGTTTCGGGCGGCGGCAACCATGCTATACAGGCTGTCCCTAAAATTTGTTTGCTCAGAACTTTTTTGTTCACTGGTAACCCTACATTTATTTTTGTACTTTTTAATAGAAAATTTATTTTAGAAACTTTTATCACTCTTTGAAAATTTTGATAACATTGACCGTTTCCGAGTTATACGCGAAAATATTAAGCTTCGATTTCAATGGTAACACTAAAAAACAAGTCTTCAAAAAAGTCAAGGTTGGCCATGGCAATTAAAAAAAACAACTTGCTGTCAACTTGCTCATGTCGTTTAAACACAAACGATAGTTTTGTTAGTTATTATTAATTTTAAGTGTTCAAAATGGAGAGTTACACATTTAGTGAACAAACTGACATGATTTTGACATTAGGGCAATGTCAAGCAGCCGCTAACCGTTATCAGGAGAAATTTTCGAACCGCAGAGCGCCCAATCGAAAAACATTTTTAAGGATTGAAACCCGTTTAAGGGAAAATGGGACGTGTAAGCCGAAATTTACTAACAACAGTAACGTAAGATCAGCCCGAACACCCGAACTAGAAGAAGATATTCTAGACTACGTAGAAGAAAATACTACAGCTAGTACTTTAGATATGGCGAGGCATTTTTTAACTTCAAAAACAACTGTCTGGCGTGTTCTTCACGAGCAACAGCTTTATCCATTTCATTGTTACAAAGTTCAGGAAGTTCGACTGGCTGATTACTCACTGCGACTGCAATATGCAATATGCACTCTGCCCATATTTTGGCCATTTGAAGACTTTTATAATAATTTTTTTTCACGAATCGTCATCATTTTTGCTCTAGTATATGAGGTTAATTTTATGCCCCGAGTCACCGGAACACCCTGTATATCTATCTATCTCTACGTCCCCTCTCTGCCACTGTCTCAATTTCCTTCTAGCTTCTCTCTTGGTCTCTCTGCATTCCCTATCCCACCTCAATTTCACTCTCTTTCTTCTACGTCGCCTCCCTAACCACCTCATTAGTTCATTCAACCCGTCGGCCCCCTCCACCCTCTGGCCCCAGCTTGCCAACTTTCCCCTATAATGTTCTATCCCCTCTATCGACCAATCTACCCTAATGTATTTTCTACCGTGTTCTTTATCATTATCTTTCTGTTCCTTCTTCCCCTCGATCCCTTTATGTACACTTCTAAAGGTTAATGATCCGACTCTACCTACGCCTCAACCCTAAATGTTTCTATCCTCTCCCACATTCCTTGGTCCACTACCACATAATCTATCACGGAACTGCCTCTCCTAAACTAGTTCATTCATCGCGCATATTCATGATACCCCAAGCTGGACCTCTGCGGACAACCTCTGCTTGTGTACGGTAATCTGCACCCTCGCACTCCACATACATAACCCTCAAAAAATCATCCACTACACATATCAAGTATAGACCAACACTCCATATCGCATTAAATGCGATAGCGCCATTTGGTTGCGGTAGTTCACTCTCTCCCTAACACATCCCTCAATCACTCCTCTCCATTCATGCTTAAAAACCTCCCATGACTTTTCCTTGATTTCATTGCTGCCTTTCTTTTTTAGTTCCTTCCAACTCTTTATCTTTATCCTTCTCCACTATCCATTCACCCCTATCATGCCGGTACCACTTTATCATTAGTTATAAAACCCATGGAATGGTTTGGGGCAAATGGTCTAAAACTAAACGAAGAAAAAACTCAATATCTGCATTTTCAAACATTTAGACAATAAATAGAACTGGCAAGCACATGTAGAGAACATTTCAAAAAAGTTGAACACAGCAATTCATACTGTGAACCTCTAATCTAACTCAACCTCACCTCCAACCCAACCTCAACTCACCCCAAACCCAACCCAAGCCCCAACCAAACCAAACCCAAGGCAACCCCCAACCCTGGACGTTTCAATGACTTCAAGCACGAATTGATGAATTTTTATATATTTTTATTATATTGGCAAGTTATTGCAACACCTCACCAGTAACACTACAATAATTGATGCCTCAAATTCTGCCTCATTTTGTGTCAATTTAGAGTTGCTTGAAGGAGCAAACTCAATAGTTCTGGTATCAAGTTCGTTCAAAAACTCAACTTTCAACAGAATTCGTAGCAGTACCTAATGATTAGATTATTGTAACTTTTCTGTCAAGGCATAAAATCAGTTTTGGATCTTAACTTTGAATTGAAAAGAAGGAGCTTTAAGAGAAACAGTTGCAGCAGAAGAAATATCAGGAATACTTTAATATTATATTTTGCTACAATCTCTGCAATTTGATAATATAGAAAATTAATTGTTGACAAGTTGGCACCGATTAGAAGAATCTTTGATTTCTCATTTTGTTTAAAATGCTGAGGCATATTATGTGCCCAATAAACCTCTAAAGTATGGCTTATATGGCGCAAAACCTAGTATTTTACAAACATGTAAGTTTATATTGGCATACAGCCAAGAGATCCAGAAGAATCAGAAAGTATAGATCAACATTTGATTGAGTTATTTCGATAGTTGTGATACTAGATATCATCTAATGATCAACCTACTCAAAAACCATCAACTCATATCGGTTGGAACAATCAGAAATAAAGAAGACGGAAAGAACTTGGTTTATGATTATATATTAAATATCAAGTTATCGTTTAAATAAAACGTCTCCACACACAATAACCTCCTTACACCATTTCCCTTTAAACACCTTTTATTTGCATTTTAAACGCCATCAAACGTTCGTTTATTGCCATACATAAACGCAAAATAAACCGTTAGAAACGCCATATTTACGATGCCCATCGATAAAATCGGTTAATGTATTAGAAAAGGATTCCGAATCGGAGATTTGGGTTTTAAAGGAAATGAGATTAAAAGCAGCTGGAAATCGACCCTATTTCAACCGGTTGGGAAACAGTAGGAGGGTGCAACGGGGGAGAAACAAGCTGAAAACAAAAACACGAGAGCGAAAAGCGCTCTACGCGTTTCAGGGCAGCTGGGTCCAGTTTAATGAAGGACACGAAACCCGACGTTATATTTTTTTGCATCGCTTTTTTTGTGCTTGTTATGATATGAGATTTTGAAATATGATATGAATTTAGTTGAGTACTTAAAAGATTTTTTTTTTTTGGTGCTAGTTTAAATTTAGAAATGATAAATTGGTTCGAATAAAACAAGGTGGGTCTGTATATCAATTGTGTTGCATATCAAATTTCGTTTTGTGACACCTAATTTCCTAGTGTCACCTTGTTCCGGATATTTAATATGTTTACAACGATTTTTTTTGTTTGAATCGATTTTTTTTTATTTTCAGAGAGTGAATCCGGATCTGGAGTTGAAGTGGATCCAAATCTTCCATATCCTGGGATAGCTCCGGTGGTTCTTGGGTATTTGTCCCAAACAACGAGACCGAGGAGTTGGTGTTTGGCGTTGATTTCAAATCCATATCCTTTTTTTGCTTAATTAATTAATCGATATATATGTAGGTAAGTTTGAAAGTATTGATTGGGAGGAGTCCTCGATTAAATATTAACGATTATTGTGGTAATTTTACGACACGTCGCGTATCTTATTGATTTCGGACAATTCCAATTGGATAGTTTTAGCCTTTCTTTTCTTGATTGCCCTATTTCTCAATTTGAACGATCAACAAGTTGCCCTATCTGAAACTCCCACGTGACAGCTGATAATTGAAAAAGTTTCAACCCCGACACACGCCGGTGGAGCACGTTTGCAATTTTTCGCTCGGATTGGGGCAAACCTTTGAGCGATTTTTCAGTAAAGAACTCCCCAAAGATCCTTCTTATACAAAACTTTTTTAGATTTAAAAATAAACTATCGACTAAATAATAATAAGATTAAAAATCGGGGACAAATCGATCGATTTGGAAACTTACTAAAAGCAAAATAGTGTTCGTACCTAAATGGGTTTTAGGCTTTCCGAAAACATTTCGGAACAATTTTCACTTTGTTTAAAGCTTCTTATTTTCTATTTAGTTCAATTCAGTAATGGAAAGTAAGATTAAAATTATTCTCTGTCCATGTTACAAAGTTTGCCAATGCATCACACAAAACTCGTTCAATATGTACGTCGTGAAAAGTTAGTAGTGGATCGAAACTTCTTTGTTCTCGTTTTTAAACAGAGTAAAATTTCTTTAATATTTTATAACTCAGCTACCATTTATCCATCCTTTGTTATCTTCGAATTATTTTTATAGATCTATTTTAAAAATTTTTCTATTATATTTTCGATCTCAACGTTATCAAAATGGGCCGAATTAAGCTTGAGTTTATTAAGGAAAGATCCGCATCCCCATTTTTACTCACCCTCCCACTATCTCTAACCCCTAATTGGCTCACCCGCTTTTCTATCCCAGCGAAATTCCCACAGTTTTCGTTATCCTTTACGGCGGGATAATGGTGAGGCGCTGACCCTAAGCTTATTAAAAGAGAAGAGGAGAATCCGGGTTTTCGATGATTTGTCACGTTGATGTTCAACATTTTCAAGATAAATTTATTCTTTTAAAATTAGATCATAAAATAAATAGATTAATATGTTTGATCTATATGATATGATGCATCAAATGAACGATATCATCTAATATCGCCGAGGTCTCTGGATCTGATACATCACCACAAAATCGTATAACACACTGCCTTATAGCCAACAAACGCTGGATATAAGGCTGTATATTGTTTGTTAGTGTTTGTTATTTCTATTATATGTCGCTCTTCTTCAATAATTCTAGTACATCAATTAATTCCGTCTTGTACAACATGTTAATGAGTTCTTTGCTATCAAATGAACGATATCCTCTAATATCGCCGAGGTCGCTTGCGGGCGAGGCGCTGGATCTGATACATCACCACAAAATCGTTTAACACACTGCCTTATAGCCAACAAATGCTGGATATAAGGCTGTATATTGTTTGTTAGTGTTTATTATTTCTATTATATGTCGCTCTTCTTCAATAATTCTAGTACAACAGTTAATTCCGCCTTGTATAAAATGTGAACGAGTTCTTTGATATCAAATGAACGATATCATCTAATATCGCCGAGGTCGCTGGATCTGATACATCACCACACAATCGTATAACACACTGCCTTATAGCCAACAAACGCTGGATATAAGGCTGTATATTGTTTGTTAGTGTTTATTATTTCTAAAATATGTCGCTCTTCTTCAATAATTCTAGTACATCAGTTAATTCCGCCTTGTACAAAATGTGAATGAGTTCTTTGATATCAAATGAACGATATCATCTAATATCGCCGAGGTCGCTGGATCTGATACATCACCACAAAATCGTATAACACACTGCCTTATAGCCAACAAACGCTGGATATAAGGCTGTATATTGTTTGTTAGTGTTTATTATTTCTAAAATATGTCGCTCTTCTTCAATAATTCTAGTACATCAGTTAATTCCGCCTTGTACAACATGTGAATGAGTTCTTCGATATCAAATGAACGATATCATCTAATATCGCCGAGGTTGCTTGCGGGTGAGGCGCTGGATCTGATACATCACCACAAAATCGTATAACACACTGTCTTATAGCCAACAAACGCTGGATATAAGGCTGTCTATTGTTTGTTAGTCTTTATTATTTCTAAAATATGTCACTCTTCCTTCACTGATTCTAGTACATCAGTTAATTCCGCCTTATACAAAATGTGAATGAATGAGTTCTTTGATATCAAATGAACGATATCATCTAACATCGCCGAGGTCATTTGCGGGCGGAGTGCTAGATTTGATTATTAACACAAAATCGTTTTGGAGAATTCTAGTATTAAAAGATTGTTATAAATTTAATAATTAAAATTAGTTTTCTGAGAAATTACAGCAATTTATATCTTTTAAAATATTTACGACGTAGAAAATATTTAAAATGTAGTAAAGATCATAATTTATAATATAAAGAAATTAAGTTCAGGTGTTGGTCGCGCACAATGTATTTTCTGAAATGATGCCGATAAGAATTTGTGGTTTATTTCAGTCGCGGACAAACGAAAATAATCCCCAATTCTATTTAAATCGTCGCGCATTCATACCTTTCTATTTTGAACGAACTGTGTATTTTCAATGACGTCGTTCCAGGACGCATTTTGTAATGCCGCGCGAAAAAATCTCTTTGTAGGCAAAACGAGATAAACGACTTGTCGATTAAAGCACGAAATTCGATGGGTTCTCTCATCTGTTGGGGTGACCATACCGTTCGATCACAAGCCAACTGTTAACCGACAAAGCCTAACCGACCGCAGCTAATAGGTTATCCATTAGCGAGAACGTAACGTCACCAAAACTTGCTTCAGATAATTGGAGGAACTGATCAGACAACAACCTACCTATAATTAGATGAGTTTCCTTTATATAGTGATACTAATACAACATTAAAAACGAACCGAATTGATTTCGCGATTTATTTCGAACCAGAACAAAACCGCGCCACATCTATTGAAGTCGAGAGTTCCCTTTGTATTTGCGGATTCGTTACCGTAATTACCCGTCCTCAATAATCGTTTCGATTTCGCGCCGGGGGACGCTAGCTCGCGTCTTTGTTATTGATTCGATTTGGAAACGCATAATTGGCAATATGGATCGCGCTCTCTCTCTCTCTCTATGTGTACGTTAACAAACAGATTGATTAGAGAATTTGGTATTATCCAGTTATGCCATTTCGTAACATCAACATTATATGTGTAGGTGTTTAAGGCAAATAGATGATTATGCATCTAAAATAATAAATAATTTTTATATCATGTAACGTACTGGTTAATAAATCATTGAAGAATCGAAATCTACACAATTTCCATTTGTCATGCCACTGAATAGAAATTATGAAATCGTATAGTAACTAATAGTATGTAGTCTTTTGCAATTACTTTCTAATCTTTTTCCAGCAATATCTAGTCCATTACCAGTGGTAGATAGTCTTTACAAACGTTACCAAGTCTTCTGAAGAATAACATTTTCGCTCAATTAAGTGAAATATTCTTGTCACGGAACAAAATTTGTTTAAATTTAAACGTTTGGATCGTCCATAAGCCATCTGCAAGTAGTATGTAGCCTTCCATAGTAGTTACCTTCTTCTGCAAACAGTATCTAATGTTATGTCAATAGCAAGTAGTCTTTTCTTAATGGCATATAGGCATTGAGCATTCATAGATATTTTTCTAACACCTCTATCTAGTAATCTGACAGCAATATTTAATCTTCTGCCAACAGTATCAAATTTTGGTCTTCTTACTCGATTGTTGCCTTGACTCAAGTATTGGATCTTCGAGAGTACTTAGCAAATCTTGCAAAATTATATCGAATTGTATCCAAGATGATGTCATTGAGGTTGTGTGCTGTGGTGTAGACACTTTTTGAATATTTTAAGACATGTTAACACTTTTTGATACTTTTTAACATATTTTGATACTGTTTTACTCTTTCAAACGGTTTTTGACATCACAACAAATGTTGGGTAAGTTGGTTTAAGTGTCATATTTAACATTTTGACACCTTTTCACAGTGTAAATGCTTTCTGGGTCTAAAATTACCTAGTATATCGGAGGTCGCTGGATCTGATACATCACCACATAATCGTGTAACACACTGCCTTATAGCCAACAAACGCTGGATGTAAGGCTGTATATTGTTTGTTAGTGTTTATTATTTCTATTATATGTCGCTCTTCTTCAATAATTCTAGTACATCAGTTCATTCCGTCTTGTACAAAATGTGAATGAGTTCTTTGATATCAAATGAACGATATCATCTAATATCGCCGAGGTCGCTGGATCTGATACATCACCACAAAATCGTATAACACACTGCCTTATAGCCAACAAACGCTAGATATAAGGCTGTATATTGTTTGTAAATGCTTTCTGGGTCTAAAATTACCTAGTATATGGTTCGGTTATGAATAAAATAAGACAAATAAAAAGTATTGTTGAGTTAGTAGCAGAAAAATTAAAGATGAAGAAACAATTTTCTGAAATTATGAAAACTACTTAAAATACAAAGTAATAATCTAATTAAAACTATGAAACAAAACTGGAAAACTCTATTAACTCGCTGCTCTTTATTATATTACTTTTGGTTTGCATCTTGTTTACGATCTCTTCTAGAGTATCTTCTTGTAAAGTCCATTCATTAAGCTTAACAGCGATGTAACGCAACCTAATTAGAAACGGGTTGGGAATGCAAAATTATAGCTGGCAGAGTCTTAGGTCGAGTAGGGTTTAATAATCCTGGGGCGTTGCACATTTATGGATAAAGTTTGAAAACGTGCATAATACCAATAATACCCGGACAGTTTAACGTTGAAAACTCTGTTTCAATTTAAACCGATTCCCTTTAATAGGTAAACGTTATCGGTGCAATCAAGTCTCGTTAACAAACGTTAACACCGTTCAAACCGTAAAACTGATTTAGACGTATC